CAGTGGGGAGGTCTTGGTTCACTGCAACCTCCACCTGCCTCCACCATGTTTGGCTAATCAAATGTAACATTCTTAACAAGCCATCCTCTAGATTTAAAATGGTTTGTAATTGAAAACTAAAATGGTTTCCATTTGCAAACCATTTTAACTTGAAAAATTTCAGTTTGATAGTCAAGATAACTAGTCCCATCATTTTTCTTCAAAACATACAAATTTTGGGGCCTTTCTTTTTTTTCCCCCATAAAGAGGATCTCACTCTTTTTTCCAGACTGGAGTGCAGTGGCACAATCATAGCTCACTGCAGCCTTGAACTCTTGGGCTCAGAGAATCCCTACCTCAGCCTCCTGCTGTGTACAGGCTTGCCACCATACCTGGCTAATTTTTGTTTTTGTTTTTTTGAGACCAGGTCTTGCTCTGTCACCCAGGCTGGAGTGCAGTGGCGAGATCTCGGCTCACTGTAACCTCTGCTCCCTGGGTTCAAGCAATTCTCCTGCTTCAGCCTCCCTAGTAGCTGTGATTACAGGTATCTGCCACCGCGCCCAGCTAGTTTTTATGTGTTTAGTAGAGAGGGGGTTTCACCATGTTGGCCAGAGTGGCCTTGAATTTCTGATCTCAGGCAATCTACCCACCTTGGCCTCCCAAAGTGCTGGGATTACAGACACGAGCCACTGCACCCAGCCTTTTAATTTTTAAAAATATTTACATAGACAGGGTCTGTGACTCAGGCTGGTCTTGAACACCTGGCCTCAAGCTATCCTCCCACCTGGGCCTTCCAAAGTCCTGGGATTATGGGCATGAGCCACCCCACCAATCCTAGTTTTTAGGCCTTTGTGACTAAATAATTCATTCACTCAAGTGACAACTCTCTGCTTCCTGTACCTAAATACAAAGACCTATCAAATAATTTTTCTAAGGCCGGGGGGGGTGGTTCATGCCTGTAATCCCAGCACTTTGGGAGGCTGAGGAGGGTGGATCTCCTGAGGCCAAGATCAGCCTTATCAACTGGTAAAACCCAGTTGCTACTAATAATAAAAAAATTAGAGTCCACCGTGGTGGCTCATGCTTGTACTACCAGCTACTTGAGAGGCTGAGACAAGACAGTTGCCTGAACCCAAGAGGCGGAGATTGCAGTGAGCTGTGATTGCACCATCGTACTCCTGTCTGTGCTACAGAGCAAGACGCTGTCTCACAATGTTACACTTATGAGATTCATCTATCTAGGTGGAGGTTTGAGGGGGAGGGCGTGTGTGTGTGTGTGTGTGTGTGTGTGTTTAATGAGAAAGAGTCTCACATTCGCCCAGACAGGACTGCAGTGGCCTGGCTAATAGTTTTTATTTTTAGTAGAGGTGAGATTTCACCATGCTGGCCAAGCTGGTCTTGATTTCCTGATCTCAAGTGATCCATCTGCCTCGGCCTCCCAAAGTGTTAGGATTATAGGCGTGAGCCACTTCACAGGTCTGATTAAAATCTTTCAGCATGGAAAGACTTGAATTCAGAACTGAGTAGAATGAAGAGAGAGAGGAAACCTGTAAGGCATTCTTCTTTCTGGAGCAGATTTAGCAGAAGTAGCTTGGCTCTGAAGAAATAGTTGTGGCACAATTCCTGACCCCCAAATCATAACTAATATGGTGTGTTCATGAAACAGTTGGAACAGCAACTTCCTGCTCCCCACATCTCAGCGAAGGTTCTATGAACCTGGACCCTGATTCTTCAGTTTTCTATTTGTAGTAGCAATGACAGTTCCCTTGACAGCTCTTGCTGCAACAATGTTCTGGGAGACACCCGTGGGGATCCAGATGAAAGCCGGCTCTTGCAACTGCAACCTTCGGCAGTGCTCTAACACTAGTCAATATCAAATCCCTTTCTGCTTAAGTTAACCAGAGCAGTGTCTACTATGGGTAATTGAATCATGACTGATGCAATTATCAGATATAAACTGATGACAATGACAAGCGGGAAACCTGTACAAATACCAGATGTGAATCATGTGTTGGTTTATTCACATCTATTTGCCTTTTGATAATAATACTTTTTGATAATTGGTTTCTTGGTTTAATCTTTATGAAATTAACTTGAATGGCTCAAAATTCATTTTGTAGCTCTGAATTTAATTACTAATTGAGCCATTTAATCAAACTAGCTGGCCACCTACAGCTATTTAATCTCACTGGCCTACTGTAGATAGATAGATCCCTTATCTTAACCAGTTAGGGGATACCATACATTCTCTCTAAAGAACATCACTGGCCTGGCACAGTTGCTCACTCCTATAATCCCAGCACTTTGGAAGGCCAAAGCAGGCAGATCACAAGGTCAGGAGATCGAGACCATCCTGGCTAACACTACTAAAAATATAAAAAATTAGCTGGGCGTGGTGGCATGCACCTGTAGTCCCAGCTACTCGGGAGGCTGAGGCAGGAAAATTGCTTGAACCTGGGAGGCAGAGGTTGCAGTGAGCTGAGATGATGTCATTGCACTCCAGCCTTGGTGACAGAGCAAGACTCCATCTTCGGGGGAAAAAAAAAAGAGCCTAGACTGTGGCCCAGGCTTCTGACTGTGTTGGCAGACAAGTTATATTATCCCTTAAGCCTCAAAAAATGGAAATTTCGTGATGGGATCCCCTTGTGCATGCAATCTGACGAGTAAATGAGAAAATACATGGGGTGCTTAGCACAGTGCCTGCCATATAGTAAGCGTTTTATACATGCACACTACTGTTATTTCCACTGTTACCAAGTGATACACGGTATGGACTTCACCAGGGAGGTGGCCTGAAGGTGGGGAGAAGGGTGTGTCTCCTTCCTCAGAGAAGGGCAGAGAATGAGAGAATGGTTTCAGCAAATCAGAATAGTAGCTGTTCCCACCACAGCCCCAGGGCTTGTTCCCAGCTGCCTTGACCCAAGGTGCCACCCAGCGGGTCTAGAACAGACAGACAGAGTCTCTGCCCTCACTCAGCCGCTGGAATGCCTGAGGGACTTGGCTCGGGGCCTGGGGTGAGGATGGGAGGACAGTGTAAGAATCAGAGCCAGCCAGGGCCTCCCGGAGCCTTGGCACTGGGGAGAGCCAGACGAAAGCAGGACAATACATGTCCCACCAATGGTGGAGTGTTTGGGGAGGAGAACCCCATCTTCCCAAGGTCCTTTCACACTTTCACCTTTGCATCCTGGGAGTCACGTAGCAGGGTGCTCCCAAAGCTCAGGAGAGGATGTGTGGAGGGGTGAAGGTGGGCGGGGCACCAGCCTGTGGTCTCCTTGCTGGGGGCGGGACAGGAGAGAGAGGATGGACTCCACCCAGTCAGGTTGAGGACAGAATGAGTGAGATTCACCGGAAGTGCCAAATGGTCCGGGAGAGTTTCCAGCACTTTCGGTGTCTCAGAGGCACTCACAGACCACCCCCTTATCCTGGCTGGACTTGAAGCCTCTTGGCCTCCTGCATGTAGATGCTTACTTATCAGCCAAGCAGACCCACAGGGCTGAATTTCAATTTGTTCTGGCTGTGTCCACAGATCCCCATGTCCATTGGGCCCTGTGTGTGGGGACGGTGGTAAAGGAGACAGACGTGGAGACTGTCCTCCAGTCCCTCACACCAGGGGGACAGGCAGATGGGAGTGGGAGATGATTAGCACTGAGGCACGCAGTCCTCTTGGGTCTGTAGGAATGAGGGGACGGACACCAACTCTCCTGGGGTCAGGAACAGCAACTCAGAGAAGGAGTCCTGGAGCTGCCTCTAAAGGCTGACTTCCACTGCAAGGAAGAAGGGCGCTGTAGGTGGAGGGCAGGCTGGGGAGAGGCTGGGGCCATGCCAGTGTAGGGTGGGGCAGAAGAGCCCTCAGGAGGTGGTGGGGGATGGGCTGGAGGGTAACCTCTGAAGTCTGTCCGAGAGGGTTGGCCTGAAGAACTCTAAGAGACTTTCCGGGCTGACAGGTGCTTTAGGGGCTCTGGGGAGCAGTCACAGCATTTCACCAGTGTCAACTTGGACCAGGCTGGGAGGAGGGGTGGCTCTGCTCCCCGCTTCCCTTAAAGCCAGCATTTCTACAGGGAGAGAGGGAGGCGGGTCACATGTTGGACCCCCCCATCCCATGACTCCATGACCAGATCCCGGAGTGAGGGGGCAGGGGAGCGGGCACCCAGGTCTCTCCTGTTGGTGGTGGGCAGTGCTTTGCTGTCGTCAGATTACAGTGAGGCTTCTGACCCAAGTCACATACTGTCTGCTCTGACCTCTTGTGGGACTGCCCATACCCGCTATAATTAGCTCGAGGAGGGGCATGGAGGGGAAGGGCTGATGGGCTTGGGGATCTGGGTATGTCGGCCACGCAGAGGACCTCACAGTGAGCCTGTCAGAGGAAGGAAGGGCCGGCCGCCTGTGTGATTTTTCCCAAGAAGACACTGCTATTTATACTTCTGTAGCTTGGGATCGGCCTCTTGTAGATGAGGACGTGAAAGCCCAAGGCCACAAGCATCTACAGCCAGTCAAAGAGTAAAAACATGGGTTTCTGACTCCCAAGACAGCACCTGATCTGATTCCTGCAGTGGATTCGGTGAGGGTCGCCTCATGCTCCTGACTTCTCCCGGACTGTTGGTGCTGGGGTGAGAAGCATTGGACCCCTCAGCCACCGGGTCAGAAGACCCCTTAGCTAGTATGGGTGAGCCCCCACCTACGTCCTCGAACCATGGAATGCTAGAGGAAGGAAGGAGCCCAGGGCCAGCTGACCCCATCACCCCCTGCTGACACACTGCCCTGGGTGCAGGCCCAGGGAGGCTTAGGGAGCCCCAAGCTGCCGGAGCACTTGGGACAGTCCTTTCTCCCTGCCAGGCCTCGGCTGCCATGGTTTTAAACTTGTATTTGAGGTGAAGTACTTGAGGCCGGGCTCATGGTTGAATGGGAGGAGCCCTGCTCTGGGGGCAGCCCAGTGAAAAGACATAGCCTGGTGCAGGCAGCCTGGACTTGGCTTGAGATCCTGGCCATCATGTTCCTCTTGTATGTATCCCAGGGCAAGTGACAGATGAATCCTGAGTGTGTGAGGGGAGATGATGGAACAGTCTGCCTGGGATATTGTGAGGAGCAAATGAGAGGGTGTGTACCCGGTGCCTGGGACCAGCCTGGCACGTGGCCATCTTGGGATTGTGAGGAGTGAATGAGAGGGTGTGCACCCGGTGCCTGGGGCCACCCTGGCACGTGGTCATCTCAGGGTTGTGAGGAGCGAATGAGAGGGTGTGCAACTGTTGCACGGGACCAGCCTGGCACGTGACCATCTTGGGGTTGTGAGGAGCAAATGAGAGGGTGTGAACCCTGTGCCTGGGGCCACCCTGGCAGGTAGTCATCTCAGGGTTGTGAGGAGCGAATGAGAGGGTGCGCCCCCGGTGCCTGGGACCAGCCTGGCACGTTGTCGTCTTGGGCACTAGGACTGCATGCAGCAGCTGCTCCTCTGCCCACTCCCATGTTAGAGGGATCTGTTTCCAGCTAGCAGGGCAGTCTGGGTGACTCCAGGAGGATTCCAGGGTCCTCAGTAGGAGTTTGGTCGCCTTGATTTTCTTCTCCGCAGCTCTGGGCACAGCCAGGGGCCTGTCACTGGCCAGGGGACTTAGGAGACCACACAGACCACCCACCCAGCCTGGATCTCCCAGCTGCCAGGCCCCCTGCTCTGAAATCTGGGCTTTGGGGTCCTACGGTCTGAGCTACCCTCCCAGCCTCACCCCACACCTGCCTTTGGCAGTACTGGCTGTTCCTGACTCTTTCATGTTCTTCCAGCCTCTCCACATCTGTAGTGTTTCCTTCTCCTCTCCCTGCTGGACTCTGGGATTTATCACCTCTGCTTTCTTCCCTGTGCAATCCCTGCCTGGCCCATTCAGGACTGTGGCTCATCCTGGCCCTCGGGCCTGGCACCGCCTGCCCTAAGACCTCCCAGGAGAGAGACTGGAGGGTTTGTGCCTCCCCATCACCCCTGCCTGGCTAGAGGCCCCAGGTCCCGTGGGTCCTGCCTCCCTCTGTTGCTTCTGCCCAAGTCGTGGCTGCCGGGGTCATCTCAGCCCTGATTGTCTGTGTGGCTCAATTCTCCCCAGAACTGCTGCCCCCGGAAGGCCCCCAAACTTTCCTCCAGTTTCTCCAGGACAGCAAGGAGTCGAGGGGTGGGCCGGTCAGTATGCCAGGGCACTCCTGCTGCTAAGCTGTAGTGGTGCCAGCCTAAGGTCCAGCAGGGGCAGCAGGATGGACACTGGGCCCAGACACAATAGCCATGCCCGAGGGCCACGCAGAATGAGGCAGGGGCAGAAGCAGGTGCCAGCTGGGCCTGGGCCGCCCTCCCCAGGGCCCCCTGCCTGCATGCCCCCACCTCGTGGTGTTGTGTCTAGGCGGGCAGCCTCGTCTTCGTCACACCACGGCAGCAGGAGTGTCTGGTGGGTACAGATTGTGCCTGTTCTCGTCTGCCCTGTTCCCCGCCACTGCTGCCAGGGAATGCAGCTGGAGGAAGGTGGGAGTAGATAGGGTGTGACAGAGGCTGAGGCCAGTCCTGCAGGGGGACAGGCGGCTGCGTGGGCTCTCTCCCAGGGGAGGGCTGCTTTCCAGACCTCGTCCTTCCATAGATGACCTGAGGTCTCTGCCTGGGTGGGGCCATCGGAGGCTCTGTTGTGTCAACTGTGATGTGATGTTCTCCAGATCCTTGTCGGACCTGGCTTCAGGGTCTGGGCTCAGGGATGCAGGCTGCAGGGTTGGAGAGCAGGGCCACAAGAGGGCTTGGTGATCCAGGAGGCTTCAGAGGGAAGGACCCTGGTGCGGCATCTGGAGGGGAAGCTGCAGCCGTAGGGCAAGAGGAGCGGGATGGAGGCGGCAGTGTGTGCAGAGGCCGGGCACTGGGGCTGGGGTTGTTGAGCTGGAATGCCCAGGAGGTGAGATGAGCGTGGGCGGGAGGGCCTCTGCTGCTGGCTGCAGGGTGGCTGAGCCAAGCAGGGGGCTGGAGTTCTCCTACAGTGGTGGGGCTCTGTGCCACTCCCTCCTCCCCTCCCAGCCCAGCCAAGGCCTCTCCGATGGGTCTCACAAGCTGCCCCCGCTCTCCTTGCTCCCGTCCCATCTCTAGCCGCAGGTGGGGCCTGTGCCTGGATGATTCTCCTGCCAAGGACATCATTGACTTCCCCTTAGTGCTACCCGGCGTCCTCTATGATGTGAGCCACCAGTGCTGCCTCCAGTACGGGGCCTACTCTGCCTTCTGTGACGACATGGATGTGAGTGGGCTGGGATGGGTACCAGGGTGTGGGGACCCAGTGGGAGGGCTCAGGGGGCAGCCCTCACCAGCCAGTGGATGCCAGCCTGGGAGGAACCTCGCTGGCCTGGGCTGTGCCCCCAAATGATACTGTGACACGTCAGAGGCCTGTGGGAGAGGCCAAGGATGGACAGCCACTGACCCGGCTCTGAATTCTGGGTCAATCACGGATCCACTGTGACAAGTCCCTTAGCCTCCCTGGGGCTGGCTTTTAAGAGGGAAAAGGGCCAGGCGTGGTGGCTCACACCTGTAATCCCAGCACTTTGGGAGGCTGAGGCAAGTGGATCACGAGGTCAAGAGATCAAGACCATCCTGGCCAAAATGGTGAAACACCGTCTCTACTAAAAATGCAAAAAATTAGCTGGACATGGTGGCACATGCCTGTAGTCCCAGCTGCTTGGGAAGCTGAGACAGGAGAATGGCTTGAACCCAGGAGGCGGAGGTTGCAGTGAGCCGAGAATGCGCCATTGCATTCCAGCCTGGGCAACAAGAGTGAAACTTCGTCTCAAAAAAAAAAAAAAAAAAAAAAGGGGGGGGGGAAGGAACCCGTGTGGGGAGGGTCTGTTTATCCTGGAGAAGACTGCCTGGAGTGATCTTCTAACGGGAGTGTTTCCAGAGGCGGGGCTGGGCCGGGAGAGGGGTGGACAGCTGGGGAGTGGTGTGAGCAGCACAGTCCCGGGCCCCCCACACCACCACAGGGTCTGGAGAGGAAGGTGGGAGCAGACACAGAAGGGACTTCTGGGGGTCTGTGGACCCCCACCATGTGGAAGAGTGTCTAGGGGGCGCTTGGGGACAGGGTGGGGGCAGGGTGGCTGGTGGCACAGGGGTGGGGTGGGGTGAGGGTGTGGCTTGTGCCTCCTCCTTGCAGAATGTCTGCCACACACTTTGGTGCTCTGTCGGGACCACCTGTCACTCCAAGCTGGATGCAGCCGTGGACAGCACCCGGTGTGGGGAGAAGGAGGTAGGAAGTGCCCAGTCCCAGCGGTGGGAGGGAGAGGCCAGACCACCTGCTGTGTCCAGGCCCAGGAGTCAGCCCCAGCTCACAGTCTTGCTGTGCTCCTAGCAGACCCCCACTCTCTGCAGCCCAAGCCTCCATCTACGTAGTGGAGGCGTTGGGCACAGGGCTTGATTCCATGATTCCCCGGGTGTCTTCAGCTGAGTCGGCATGTGGGCTGTTTTACTCCCTGCTCAGCTCTGCCCTGCGGCCTGGGCCACATGTGATGGTGATGATTGGGAGGGGTCTCTCTCATCTTCCATCCTTCCTCTCTGTGCTTTCCGTGGCCTTCTCACCCACCTTGTTCTCACTAGGGTGAGGATGACTGATGGGCTTGGGGGTGGGGGTGGCTCTACCTCCATCTGTCTCAGTAGTGGTGTCTCAATGCGGAGTGGGTGCCCGTGGGCTTCTGGCCTGAGGCCGTGGACGGTGGCTGGTCTGGCTGGAGCACCTGGTCCATCTGCTCGTGGAGCTGTGGCATGGCCGTGCAGAGCACTGAGCAGCAGTGCACGCAGCCTGCGTGAGTGTGGGGCCCAGGGTGCCCTGCGTGATGGGACAGAGGGACCCAAGCAGCCAGCCGATTGCAGGGGCTTGGCTCTGTCCCAGCCCCTGGCTCTTAGAAGTATCCTCATAATGGTCAGTCTGAGGGTCCAGGCCACCTTGAGTCACTTTCAAGGAGGGTTTTGGGGCTGACAGGTCCCCACTGCTGACCCCTTTGCAGAGACGGGAACACTGAGGCTCAGAGACTAGAGAGACTCATCAGAAGCCACACGGCAAAGCAGCTGCCGGCTGGAGGGAGGGTGGAGAGGGCAGTGGGGAAGAGCATGGGCCCTGGACCTTAGATGGCTCAGGGTTTGAATCCCCTCTTCACCCCTTCTCTGGGCCTCCGTTTCCCCGTTTAAACAGGGGGATGTGAGAATGTGATGAGGCGCAGAGCCCAGCAGTACCGTAGAACCGAGGCACTGCCCAGCTGATTCCCTCTTCACGAGGCCACCCAGGGAAGGCATGGGGTTCACAGCCAGCCCCACCGAGGGCCCTGTGCCCTCCCTGCCTCCAGACCTCCAGGTCTGAGCTGGGTTGGGTCCAGCTACCCTAGCCTAGATGGGGAGGATTTCAGGAGCTGTGACTTGGCAGACCTCTCAGCTGGCTGGGGCCCTGGGGGCCTTTTTTTTACACCCGGGCTGGGGGAACTGCCACCAGGAGGGAGGCTGAGGACTCAAGGGCTCGTTGGGACGCTGGTGTCATGGGCTGGGGACTCGGAGCTGTCCCTCCAGTCAGTGCCAGTCATGCCTGCAGCTTGTCACAGCTTCTCAACAGTCCTTTGCAGAGTCAGCCTCAACCCCATTTTACAGATGAGTAAACTGAGGCCCAGGGGTTGGCCAGAGACTTGGTCACAGTCGCACAGTAGGCTGGGGACAGAGCTCAGGCTTCCTGCTGCCATTTCCCTGCAGGTCCTTACAAACAGGGAGGGTGTGTCTGGGCCAGAGTGGGGGCAGCCCACAGGAAGAGAGCATGTGCGCAGAGCTGGGTGGCAGGGATCTTGGGGTGTGGGTACAGGAGGCGGCCACTCGCTCCGGGCTGTGGCCACGGAGTAGCACTCACCAGGCCCTCTCTGCATCTCCCCACAGGCCCAAATACAAGGGCAAGTACTGCGTGTGGGAGCGGAAGCGTTTCTGCCTCTGCAACCTACACGCCTGCCCCTCTAGCTGCCCCTCCTTCTGCCATGTCCAGTGCAGCCACTTTGATGCTATGCTCTACAAAGGCCAGCTGCACACATGGGTGCCTGTGGTCAATGATGGTGAGTGCTGCCTCCCACGGGGACACTGAGGCTCAGAGGGCTGGGGCTGTGTGCGCTCAAGGCTACCCTGTGATGCAGCAGGAGGCTCAGTCTCCACCCTAAGCCTGGGCCGCCCCACTGTGCCCTGGGGCTGCGGCTCCTCCCAGCTCCCCAGTCTGCAGCCTTGCAGATAGCTATCAGCCCAGCCGGAGCCTCCAGCCTGCCATGGATGCGTGTCATGGAGGGGTCTTCCTGGTGGCCTCCATAACTCCTGCCCCAGCTGTCGCTGATGGGTCTTCTACTTAGCTCCCAGTGCACCCCTGTGAGTTGCACTGCCAGCCCTCAAATGAGTATTTTGCCGAAAAGCTGCAGGACGCGGTGGTTGATGGCACCCCCTGCTACCAGGGCAGGGTTAGCCGGAACCTCTGCATCAATGGCATCTCCAAGGTGTTCCTGGTCGGGAAGAGGCTCTCCCAGCACTGCCCGCCCCCAGCCCCACTGGCAGGCTCCAGGTGCTCCCCTGGGTCCCTCCTGGTCCTCTGGCCACCCTCCCCATGCTCTGCCATTGGGCTTCCCAGACCCCACCCTCTATACCACTAAGGCAAAGCCCATACCAGGCCTCCTGGCGCTGGAGACCCCTGCCAGTCAGGGCTCGCTGCCCCTCGTCTCCTTGGGTGCTTGCCAGCACCACCCCAGCCGGGACACCGGAACACAGGCAGGGGCTTGACCTCTTGCCAGCTGGCTGACCCCAGGCAGTGGTTTCCTCCCTGAAAGAAGGGGTCAAATGAGGTGGCACAGGTGACATGAAGGGCTCTAGCCCCGAAGGTGTCTCGTCTTTGCCCATCTCCCCAGCCACCTACCTGCTCCTGCTTCTAGCCCACTAAGCAGCTGGGGTGTCCGGGCCTGGGCTCAGAGGGGGACCAGCAGGGAGAGGCTGACCCCCAGCACCTCTGATGTTCAGATTCCCTGCACATGCTGGTCAGGAGCCCGTGGTGAGTCAGGTCCCTGCCTGCCCGCAGCCTTTGCAGAACTCCCTCCTCTTGTCACATGTGATACTCAAGACATACCTTTAAGGGAGGGATGGGTCTCCCCATCTCACATCTGAGGACACTGAGGCTCAGGGAGGTAGAGAAGTTCACCTGGGTCAGAGGCACAGCTGGGGTGGGGCAGGGCCAGAGAGAGGCCTCCCGATCCCCACTCCAGCTGTCTCCTCCTGACCCTGGCTGGCCCCCGGGCTGGGGCCACAGAGGACTGACCGCCAGTACCACGGGCCTCCCCTCCCTTGTGTGTTGCAGAATGTGGGCTGTGACTTCGAGATTGACTCTGGTGCCATGGAGGACTGCTGTGGCGTGTGCCACGGCAATGGCTCCACCTGCCACACCGTGAGCGAGACCTTAGAGGAGGTCGAGGGCCTGGGTATGGGGTGGGACCACTGTGGGGGAGAGGTGTGCTCTTTACCTGGTGGCCACTCCCCCATCTGCCCCGGGCCCCCCCATTGGACTTGGGGGTCCTCACCCAGCCATAGATGGCTAAGCAGGGAAGACTTGCTGGGGTGGAATTCATGTAGGAGTCAGGGACCCCTAACCCAAGCGCAGAGAACTGTCCCCGTGGGGAGTCCTCTTGTCCCAGAGACCCCAGGCAGGTCCAGCTCAGCTTGTGTGCAGCCCCTGGGCCTCTGGGAGGATGGTAGTCTCTTCCTGAAGCTTCCGAGATCCTCAGCTCCATGCCCTTCCCTTGGATCTGCTTTGCACACGTTCAAGTGCTGAATGTGCTAGGTGATGGGGACATGCTGGTGAATCGTTCAGTCCCGCAGGTGACAGGACCTTCTGTGTGGCCAATGCAGTGCAGGGAGGCACAGAGGACTCCTCCTCTGTTGCCCAGAGGACTTTGGGAGCACCGAGGAAGACACTCCTGGCCTGGGGAAGCCAGGGAAGTTTTCCCGTGGGAGGAAAACCCTGTTGTCCTCAGATCCCAGCAGGGTGCTCATTCATGTTACTATCCCTGCCTGCCTCACTTTCCTCATCTGTGAAATGGGGACAACACTGGTACCTACATCCTAGGGTTGTTACTCATTTTACACGTGAGCAGTGCCTGGCGTGTGATGGGTGTTACAGAAGCAGGTGAATAAAAGCAGCCGTGTGGGCTGAGGAGGGTGACCTGGGAGAAAGGCCTGAGCACGCTGGCATTTTAGAAAGAGAATGCCAGCTGGCCCTGAGTGTTGGGTGGACCCAGCCTTGTGATGAGACCAGTTTAGGTCTCCAAGAGAGGGGTGACGGGGCATGGACACGGGGTCAGGATTTAGGGCGCCTCTGTGAGGTTTTGGTGACCGACATATCTGAGCAATTGGGAGAGCTCAGACTTTTAAGCTAACGGTGGAATCTTTGGCATCAGCAGGCGGGGTGCAAGTGGGGAGAGAGGTGAGGGCAGCAGGTGGGGATAGGCAACCCTGTCACCCCGAGCACAACCTATACACAACCCGTGGCCAGCAGTGTATGTGGACGTGGGTCTGATCCCAGCTGGCGCACATGAGATCTGCATCCAGGAGGTGGCGGAGGCTGCTAACTTCCTGGCACTGCAGAGCGAGGACCCGAAGAAGTACTTCCTCAACGGCGGCTGGACCATCCAGTGGGACAGGGACTACCAGGTGGCAGGGACCACCTTCACATATGCATGCAGGGGCAACTGGGAGAACCTCACGTCCCCAGGTCCCACCAATGATCCTGTCTGGATTCAGGTGCGTGCTTCCCGAGGCCCAGGAGCGGGGAGCAGAGGCGGAGACCCCAGGCCCATGGCAGGGTCTCATCTTGGAGGAGTGAGCCCTGGGGCAGTCACAGAGCCTGGCTCTCAGCCAGGCCCTCCTGCTGCAACCTCTGCCTCAGTTTCTCCATCTTTTAAAATGGCCCCATGATGTAGCTGCTGTTCAAAGGTGGCTGGGGTCAGCTCCTCTAGGGCTGGGTGGATGGAGAGGATGCCTCATCCTCACGGGGCCCATCTGCTCGCCCAGCTGCTGTTGCAGGACAGCAACCCCGGGGTGCACTATGAGTACACCGTCCACAAGGAGGCAGATGCCCATGGCGAGGTCCCACCGCCCGAGTTCTCCTGGCACTATGGACCCTGGACCAAGTGCATGGTCACCTGCGGCACAGGTGAGAAGAGGGGCAGGCACAACCCCTCCAGCAGGGGCTTTGGCTCTGGACAGGGACGCCGGCTTCAGCCTCCAGCTCACTGCTGGGCCACCACAGGTCTGGAGGTTTGCTTCTCTGAGCCTCAGTTCCCCATCTGTGAAATGAAGCTGGCAATTGCCCCATGTCCCATGCCCGCTGGGTGGTAAATAGATGAGGCAGGTGGGGGCAGCTTGCGGCGAGCGCTCAGCGTGCCCCAGCCCTTGGCATTTCCATCCAGGGGGCACAGCTCCCTCTCAATTTTTTCCTGGCTCAGCTCCGGCAGGTCTCGTGCCTGCATTTCTCCTGTGTCCTGGAGACGACTCCCCCACCCCCACAGAGCTTTAGCTGTGGGCCTGTAGGGACATTGCTCCCCTTCTCCAGCCCCTCCAGTGGTCCAGAAGCTGGGGCTCCCTGGTGGCTGCCCCATGAGGGGCTTCCCAGACAGAAGGAGGGGGAACAGTGGAAGGTGGCAGGGAAGGGGGCAGTGAGGGGAGGGAGGCCAGGGCACAGCCAGGTTTGCCACCCCACTCTGAGGCCAGCCTAGTGGCCCCTCACCACACCGACTTATTTCTTTAAACTATATAAAAAGTATGATGGTTTCATTAACTCCGACTCTTCCTCCCCATATTTCCCTTCGTGCCCTCCATGCGCCTTGGTCTCCCTGCCTCTCAGAATCTCCCACCTCAGGTCTCCTACCCTGCCCCTTGATCTTCCTCCCAATGCCCCTCAGTTTCCCCTGACCCCTCAGTCTTCCCCCTCACCCCTCGGTCTCCCCCACATGCTCCTCAATCCCCCCCTCTGTCTCCCCCCCACCCCT